TCACCGGATATGCAAATCGCAGGGCGTGGGCCTGCCGCTGAGTTCGGGCCCCGCCCACGCGCCCCCACGTGCTTATGAATAATTCACACGGCCCCCTTCCTCTGCCCAGCCAATCAGGGGGCGGCAAGCCCTGCTCGTGAATGAGGCCCCAGCGCAGCCGCCCTCTTCAAATGGAGCGGTCTGCGTAACTGAGTGTTGAGGTCATTAATATTCATGAGTAGTAGACCCTTCCCCCCCTCCCCCCACCACGGTACCTCGATTAACCTGCCGCACGGGCAGCTTCGCTCGGTTCCCATAAGCGGATACACTAGGCTCCACCCCGCCCAGACCCGGGAAAGCCCAGCGTCCAGGGGCCGCCCCTGATCCCTCTCCAGTGTAACTGCCTTAGTGTAAACGGGGCTACTCCTAATTCGCACCGGAGTGAGATCCGAGGTAGGCCCTAAAGCACGAGGACAGCTCAGCCCTAACTGCACGGTGCTAGCCCCATTTGCGAGAGAGGGGAAAGGTAAATCTGGCGAGTCTCCAAAATTGAACTCAAGGTGGTTTCTCACAACTTAACAGCCCTCCCACCAGGCTTCCTGCTTTCCCAGGCACATCTTTCTATTAAAATAATAATACAAAAATCTTTCACCCTGGTCTTACCCACAAAAACCACAAGGGAAGCTGAGTATACCAAGGAGACTGAAAAGGGGATGTACACACAAGGGGCTATCAACTGCAGTCAGAACACTGCAAAACATCTTCATAACAGGAGCTTCAGGGGCTAGTTTGTTACAGGAAACAAAAACACAGGGCACACACAGCTCATACCACCATCTACTTGTTTTGTTAGTCTGTAAAATTCTACCAGACCATTTGTTGTTGTTTCCTGTAACAAACTAGCCCCTGAAGCTCCTGTTACGAAGATGTTTTGCAGTGTTCTGACTGCAGTTTTTATCTTTGTAACAGTCCTCTCAAGTGTTACTTGTGGAGGGAGTACATGGTCAGACAAAAGGGGGTTTTAACAGCATCCCTTAACAGGTTACTCCTTCCTTTCACAGGGACAGTCAATTCATAGGGCATACAGGTGCAAACCTCCACCTCATAATGAAGTATATGTTCATATTTATTCCTGCATAAAAGATGATTGTTCAGAGATGGACAAAGCGATTGGCTAATGATTATGTAATGATTTATAATTATGCCTGTGATGAGTCAGACCTGAAGGTACTGGTAGGCCACAGAGGAGAGCTAAACAAGGCAAAAGAAAGAAAAGGGACTTAGAAATGTAGCATCCATAGAATGATGGAGCTGAATGCTACATTCCTCTACAGATTTGGTCCTTTTCACCTTGTGCGTGTGTGTGGTGTGTTGTTTTTTGTTTGTTTTTTTTACAGACAGCTCCTGTAGTATGAGGACTGATATGTTAGCATGAAGACTGAAGCTAGAAACAGGAAAATTACCCCACCTAGCATTTACTTAAAAAAAAAAATGGCTGTGTCTACATTGGCACCCCTTTCCGGAAAAGGGATGCTAATATAGCACGTTGGAATAGGCAAATCCGAGGGGGATTTAAATATCCCCCGCGGCATTTGCATTAACATGGCTGCCGCTTTTTTCCGGCTTGGGGAAAAGCCGGAGAAAAGCACCAGTCTAGACGTTATTCTCCAGAAAATAAAGCCTTTTCCGGAGGATTTCTTATTCCTACTTGAGCTTTTCCGGAATAAGCTGCAAGCTGTCTACACTGGCCCTTGAATTTCCAGAAAAGCAACGATGCTCTACTGTACAAAATCAGCCACTATT